TCTAGACGTATATCACTCAACCTATAAATTTAATCTGTCAAACTATACTCAGTTATATTAAAAATAAAACCAGTCGACCGCTACGCGGTCTCGTGATTTTATTAAATTATTTTGCATTCAACATTTTCCAAGAAAAACCAAACAAAAAACTACTGAGCCTAGTTTAACCGATTAAATTCATAGTTCTCGTGATATAATATATAAATATTTTTTCGACTCTTTAAAAATTACTTTTGCATTTTTTCAATATCCCCATAGTGGCCGCTACAACTTATGTACTCTCTTAAAATTAAATAGTCAAAATTGTACTATTTGAATTAGTACCAGCATTTTTTTACTAATAAAATAGTCGTTTTTACTTTTAAATAGTTATTTTTTACTACGGAAATAATTAAAGTTTGACTAATTTAAGATTAGTCACTATCTTTGACTATTTCTGAGAGTTAAAAGTAACTAATTTAATAGTTTGCTGCCAACAACAAAGTATTATTTGAATTAAATGCATATACTAAGCTCCATGGTTAAATGACCCATAAAAACAATTAAAGTTGCAAAAAGTTTAGCTCAAAACAGCAACACAAATAATATTTTCAACTTTAAAATATTATGAACAATATTTATTAACAAATAAAAAAATCAATAAGAGCGGCTGACAGCCGAATGGGTTATGACAACAGCTTGGAAAGCTTGACAAGTGACAGTTCAATACCCGGCTGGGTCAAAACTTTTTTTAAATTTAAATATACTAATTTGACTATTTCATTCAGTAGAATTTGACTAATTATTAGTGACTGCTTTTTCGCTATGACAATTAGTCAAATATGACTTATAATTAGTTATTTTTGACTAATTCATTTTAAGAGAGTAGTTTGATACATCGTCGGATTCCCTGATTTTTTTATAATTACGTTAAATTTCAATATGGTGGCAATAGAAAAACAAAAGGTGGTGGCAACAATGTGTATGTTTACATGTAAAACTTACTGATTTTTAAAATTCCCAGGAATATAGAAGTTATAACGATTTTTGGTTTTTAGTTTTTTTCAAATTAATCTGATATAACAGAACTTGTAACTCTTGAAATAAAAAAGATACCGATACATAGTGGGATACTTGGTGCACCCTGTATATCTATAAACAAATAAACTTATCGAATTTAATAAATTAAAAGTATTATATTTAATTTTTAGGAAATTCTATGGCTGATTTTGTGTTTCGAAAGATTTATATTAACTATGTAAATAACATTAATGTAAAAGTTTCATATATGATATATCAAACACTACATTCAAGAAATCTGGCAACGCACATGTACCTACATTCAAATGTATGATGGTATCTCATGTCTAGTGCGCCGCCCTAATTGCTATGTATCGGTACAACGTGCCCTTTGTACCATGACCAAAGGTATGGAAACAAACGCGACACGTCCATTATCCAGCATGGCCGCCTTTGTTCACGTCTATTTTTTATATGCAACCACGCCTTCATTGACTGATAGCAGAAGAAGATAAAAAATTACGCACCAACTACTGACCGTACACGAAAAAGCAAAGTATTATGAAGGAAACAGATCAAAAAATATTATTTTTGGTTGTAATTTTTGTATATGGAAAATGGTATTTTCCGACAAACCAATCTTCTTTCATTTGTAATTTCATGCGCATTATCTGGCGATCAAATTAAATGAGAAATTCGTTAAAGTTGCTCGTTGAAAACCAGTGAGGCGAGTTTCATCAAAAGCTAAAACAATTTGCTGTCATAGTGGTTGTCCTTAAGTCGAAATGAGCCCGTCGGGCTTCGAAACAGAGACCCGTTTTATCATCTATGCGATCATCTTTGTGTCACTATCAAAACTCATACACGGAATTAAGTTGATTAGGCATTGAAATGAACGCTGGAAGGCATGTAACGAGACCTGCCCTAATGCACCCTAATCGAATTTGTTCCTTGGGCTCAGTGGTGGCACGCAAACTCTTTAATAGCTTTTATTCCTTAATGATTTTATGAAAAGATTAATTAGCTTTTAAAATCCTAAACTTAAAGATCATCGACTAGTTTAATGAGTTTTTCGGTTTTATCAATTAGAAATTATAATTTAATTAATCTAGGAACACTAAGGCATAACAAAATGCTGTGGTAGCTTCAGGGGTTCTAAATTTTGTAGATGATTTCATACAAATTACATTAAAACTAGTCTATAGACTATATATAACAATGCAAAAAACCGCATTGTGGCGCACGTCACTGCTCCCTAAAATACGAGAATTGAGTTTGTTTTAAGACGCTCTCTCCTGTATATATTGCAAATTATTTTGCTTGCCGTAGCTAATAACCCCTGTAATATTTCAACTTCGATAAGCAAATTATTTTATGCAAATTGCATCTGCAAATCAAGTCCATTTTTATGGTAATCCAAAGTGATAAATTGAATGCCCAAATATAAATAAATGCTATTAAGAAGAACTGTGTACAATAAAACTGACATTACCAAAACGTAAAAATGTTTTAACTCTTTCTTGCCTTAACAATACAGTAAATACAAGCACTTTAAACATTATTTAAGGAAAATACAGCATTTTAATATTCTTGACATTTGTATACAAATAATTGAGTTTATCTATCTGTCAGTTTCTATTATAATACAAACCCTATAGGGTTAAACTGACAGATAGATAACATTAATTAATTTTATTCAAATGTTAATGTGAGACTTTTGGGTGTGAAGCATAGTACCAACAGTCCGGCAACAAAACTAAACAGCTTTAAAAAAGCTGCTGTAACAAGTTTGCAATATGTCATATTCCGCTCGAGTGGAAAGTTGACGGTTTCACGAGAGCGGAATACGAGCGAATTTAATTGGGAGAAAGTAAGGTTGGATCGGTCTAAAAGTTGTTATATAATAAACACAGAGATGTCGCCACCAGTGTTTATTCCGTCATCAGGTTATAGAATAATTCATTCTGCAACACTTTAAGGGATATATGTAAATCCACATTAAAAGTGACATAAGAACGGTCATATTCCGTAATAGGAGGAAAACTACAGACCTTATTGCCGAAAGTTTCGTGTACAATGGCAATGAAAAGGCCAGTATGAGGAAACAAAGAATATATTTGGACTAAATGTAATTAAGAATACAATTATGGAAGTGAATCATCCATAAGATGACCACCGTCTTCTTCTATGCATTGCTGCAATCTGTTCCTGAAAGCGAGCATAAGACGTCTCAGTAGATCTTCGTTTATGGAATCTCTTCACGAATCCTCTCTTTTAGATCGAGATTTTTTTGATTGTATACTTTTCACTTTTGGAATCACCAAATCTTATTATCTAATCTAATTAAACAACCTGGAAACATACGCTGCACTGTTAAAAGATTCCATCTCTAATTTACAACAAAATACTAGTAGTATTCTATTTTTCCTAAACTTTTTTCGAGTTGATCTTGTAAATTTACAATAAAAATACTAAGAATACAATTACATTATGTAAATATCCTGAGTTAGTATAGTAATTGTCATTCTTGAAACTAAGATTTGTAAAATTACTATACTTTTTAATAGTTACCATAATTTTTAACAGAGTGCTTTGTCTAGCTGTATGAGCGTGTATAAGCTGTGTATGAGCTTCTTCCATTCTTTGGAGGACCGCAGACAAAAATGTTTCCACCAGCTTACCGAACCGAGCTGAAATGACTAAATGCGCGGTTCTTGTTTTAAAAATATGGCCCGATATAACCAAATGTAGACACCAAACCGGTACTTTTTGGTCATAAAGTGGTCTCTTATAAATTTTTTTAGGGTTGTGTTTTGCCCAATAGTTTTGCTTGTTGACGTACCCGCTGAGATGGAAGTGAGCCTCATTAGAAATGATAATTTTTAATGATTTCTGCATTGTTGTTCAATTTCTCTAAAAATTGTCTGCAGAAATTGAGTCGATTATTAACGGGATTCACCCTTTGGACTATCTGTATCTTGTACGGATGGAGTTTCAAATCCAGATAAAACATTCACCGCAAACTTCGATCTGAAATGTGCAGAGCAATCGAGTGCCGAACTACGTTCAAACGCTCAAACGCTTTGTGACTCTCCTAATTTGTTTTGTTTTGTGTACGAACTGTACTAGTCCCACCGACGAATTTTGACTTAACAGTGCCTGTTTCGTTAAAATCTCTTACCCATCTCAAAATGGCATTTCTTTATGGAACTTTAGCGCCCAGGCAAATCAAATTCACGACAAAAGCGTATCTGAGTTTGTACGAATAACTGGATCAGCAAAAATTCGTTGATTAAGTTCGCCATTGTTCAAAGTGTGTTTAAATTTGAAAATAAAAAATAAATATTTGGCATCTCGTGTTAGGTAACGGTAAATAGGCTTAACATAAAATTTAATGACCTTGAGTGGAAGAAATAACTACGTATTTACAAAGCTTTTATTGAAAAGTTGATTAATTAACATTAAATTACTTTAATGATAAAAAATATGCATTAACAACTAATGATACGAGTATCCGATAACGGAGTTGGTTTTATGAAATGATTGAAAGTAACAGAGCTGCATGCAACATATTCTATTAAAAACCATGATATTTATAATTTCGTATATATGTAGTAGGTGCTGTGTCAGATACGATCTTGGCAAGAGTCGTGTTTTATAAACATTGCATATTAACAATTAATGACTTTATTATACACAAGTTGTAGCGTTTGCTATTACACCAAGATTAAATTGTAAAAAAAAATAATTTATCAAACGATGTTTGCTTAGTTACAGTCCAGCGATTTTAATTACTTATTTACCTTTGATAACGATATTTCTTTGTTGTTCTTATTACGCTCTGAAAGTCAAAAAATAAAATTGAATTAGAGATCCCAAAAGCAATTAAGTTTTTTGTAAAGCATCATGAGATTGAATCTCGGATAATTTCAAACAGTTATTTATTCGACCTTCGTTCTAACAAGGCCTTCTGTTCTAATAGGTAATTATCTTTGTTTCAGGATGCAACATCAACAGCTGGCCGCCCAGTTGGCAAATCACGGAGGAAGCGGAAGACAGCCTCCATTGAGTCCTACGCCTTCGGACTCGGATTCGGACATTTCCTTGGGAGCGCACTCGCCGCCAATTAGTTCCCCAGGTCCACTGCGTTTCGGAACATCCTCTCCAAACCCTATGACATCGTTTAGATTTGGAGCGCATTCGCCAGGCCCAATGCCGGTGCAATTCCGCTTCGGAAACCATACCCCGCCTAGTTTCAGAATGGATAGACAATCCTCTCCACCGCCGAACTTCAGAAAGTACCGCAACGAAGAGTCGCCAATTAACGAGTCCAATAGGTACAACTCCAGATTGGATTCCGAATCACCCATAGAAGTGGATTCGAATCCTGAATACACTCACGATAAAGACAGTATGACTCCTCCACAAACCTCCCCTCCCATGAACCTTAGAATAGCCGACAACCTGCGGAACATGTCGGAAAGTTTGAAAATAGAACAACCTCTACCTCTACGGTTGCAAGGCCATCCTCTATCGGCAGGAACGCTTTCCACACCGTTAAGGATCCAAGTGGCTTCCTCTGGAGGAAGGCTGGGAGGACGGACTTCCCCCCACACGAACTTGAATCTTGCACACAGCGGAATTGTGAGAATTGCGCCGCCAAGTCCCACGTCGAACCCCCCGCCAATTTTGCACAGGCCCTTCTCGCCCACAAGGCTCACGTGATATCCGTCTTGCGAGTGGAAGTAATTGTAAATATGATTCTTGCAATATTGTCTGTTTATAAGTCGCTTTTAGTTATTCATCTTGAGCAAGGATTAAAAAGTCTTCTGCCAAAGTGTAAATTTAAAATTCTAGAAACGATTATATCCCATTCTTCATGAGAGACTGGAATTTATAATGATACAAAAACTGGTTTAAAAGGTCTTTGAAATACGTATATGGGGTTGATCAATGATCAATGGTTATCGTTTCTGGAATATGATGTTTTTCGTTTGACAGGAGAGTTTTTAAACACCATCTGCAACGAATTTCGAAATTCAATAACAAACAAAACCTTCTTTTTGTGTAGATATGTTTATAAAAATATGTAAAAAAAAGTAAGTGTATACAGCGTAATCAACTTACTATAAATGTTCAGTGGCAATTTGTAGATAAATTTAAAATTATATTGAAAAAAATTATTATATTTATGTAGAATGAGAACCCATTTTAGTCATTTATCAAAATTTATAATTTTCGATTAAATTTCGCAATTTATGTGTATGCAGCAGCTATTTATATTCCTGTAATTTTATGTATTTTATATTTTCGAAAAATATAAAATTATGATTATTGTATGGCGTTCTATTTGTAGGGTAGATATTGCTATTCAGTTTTGTAGATAACATAAACTAGATGCGTACATAATAAATAATAATTTAATATTATAAAATGAGTATATTTACATTTACTGTCGATTGTACATAAATACATATTACATATTGATATTACATATTCTTGTTTTTATTTCTCTTTTACCTTTAATCAATTTCACTGTTTTTAGATAAGGTAAGTTAATTTAAAATAAGTAAATAATCTTGGCAAATACTTTTTTACTTTGTTAATATTCCTGGGAAACGAAAAGTTACACAGGAAACCGGATAAAGGTATACAAATAAATAAATATAATATTTATGTAAAAACTATACTAACCTACATCAGGTTACAAATTGTAATTAATTAATTATTACTTAAAAGGCAATAGTTGTCGCTGCAGCGGGAGGGATTAAAAGTTGTATGCTCTACAAAAGGTCTCTTACGTTTTTTTTGTAAAACCATTCATTTAAAGTTGAAAATATACTGGGTGTCCCAGATCTCGTGCCACAGAGAAAAATGGGGCGTGGTGATAGCAATGGAGATGTCAAATTTAAAAATAAAAAAAATCTAGGTAATATTATAAACAAATGAAAGCAAAAAAACGTCCTCCATAACCCGCTGAAGTGTGAACGGGAAATTCGCGTGCAACTTCCCTTATGCTCTTCCTACTATTTGCATCAATTTCGTTACAACGGAAAACAACTTTACAGTCCAAAAAACTCGTGCTGCCCCCCTAGCATTGCGCCCATACTCCCCATAAATAATCATCATTTCGGCATAATCAGGGGAGGAAAACATAAATTAAAATGATAAATAATGACAGGAACAAAAATTGACAGTAGTGTCACAATGAAGTGGATTCCAGTCGACCAAATATTTTACATATTACTAGCAATTTAAAGAATTCCCTATGACCATGTATTGGGATTGGCTATCTTTTTTATTCTTATCTAGCTTATCCTTTGCGTTAGATAATTTTAATTATCGCATAACTTTTGACACGTTCCCTTTATTTCTGTGGCGCGAGTTCTGGGACATCCTATATTATAATAGTTTATAATGACATTAAATAAACAAGTTCGGCGCAAACAGAATTTAAATTGAAGTTTGCGAAAAAAAAGTTAGTTTTTCCTGTTGCCTCCCTCGCCTCCAGGCCCCCCTATTTGAGATAATTCAAATTAAAGTGGTGCAATTTATTATCTACTATAATTTCTCCCAAATTTAAAATTTTAATTTAAAAATCCAAATATTACAGGTTTTATACCATTTTAAATATTTTTTTATTTTAATAAAACAAATAATAAAAATTTAAAATCGAATAAAATCTGTAATATTTGGATTTTTTAAATAAAATTTTAAATTTGTCGATAATAAATTGCACTTTAATTTGAATTATCTCAAATAGGGGGGCCTGGAGGCTGGTGAGGCAACAGGAAAAACAAACTTTTCTTAGCAAACTTCAATTTAAATTCTGTTTGCGCCGAACTTGTTTATTTAATGTCATTATAAACTATTATAAATTTGGTGTGGGTCCCATGTCTAATAACTGAGATATTGGTATACCCAAAATCCACGAGCCACTGTAGGTACCCTAGTAAAAAAGCAACTAATAAATTCAGAGGAAAGAAAAATAATTACAATACTTTTCATTTTGATTTATTGAAAATTTTGACATTCGTTATCATTTAAATGGTTGCTTTAACAAAAAAAAAATATAAAATACCATTTATGAAGAGCACTATATTTATTAGCGAGTTTTGATTTTTTTTTAAATTAAATTTCATAGTAATTAAAATGACATTTAGGAAGGGTTAAACGAAATCGGAAAAAAAATATTTATTAAAAAATTGTTTTTAAACTGTAAACAAATAAATTAGATGATACCCAAGTAAAAAAACAAGATTATTGCATATCTTTTATTATATTTAATATGTAGGTACCTACATATCTTTATATACATAATTGTATATTATTATATTACACACAGAGTGTGTCAGCCAAATGGAATAAATTAGATATCGATGGTTATTTGATAAAACATCGTAAGCGACAAAACCTAAATTTTACAGGAGAGATTTTTTTTTGTTTGGCAGCTTTATTTTTAAAGTTATTTATCTGAAAACTGGTGAGGCATTATTTTATTAATGTAGAATTCAAATATTTAAGTAAGATCGAATCCAATCTAAAATTTTCATTAAATTTTGTGGGATACGATATTTTATAAGAACATCTTTAGAAATATGTCAAATTAGTCTTGTCGCTTAAGTTACATTTACGTTACTTTGTGGGATATAGATTTGATGATTACTTTTGTCAAAACATTTATTTTTTTCACCACCAGCGCCCTCTTATCTTAGGAAGATTCTTGTTTACATGATGTTCGGACTCCTTGTGTAGGCTCCATGATCTAACCCATGGTACCATGGGTACACTTTTAACGAACCACACTACGTAAGAACAATTATAATTAGGATAACTATTAATAATGCAATGAAAAAAAGGAATTATAAGCTTTTGATCAAATAAAATACTACAAGCCGAGAGGTCGTGGGTTCGAATCCCACCAGGGGTATGGTTGTTTATTTGTGTTTGTCATTGTGTATTTCTGTAATTGGGCCTGGTGCCTGTTGAAAGCACATTAAAAATAATAATAATAAAATAAAATAAAATATTGTTTTAAAACTTGGTGGCAATCACCACGATGCAGGTATACTCACAAATAAACTGTTTAGAGCGGGAATAACGCCTTGATAGAACAAGGCGGGAGCACAATATTATCGTAAGCGACACAATGTTAAATCGCAAACGCCATGTCTCGGAGTTGCTTACGATTATTTGTTGGGAACATATAGGCTTACGTTATAAATACGTAACAAATTAAAAAGAAGAGGCGCTTACAATAAAAATATTCAAATTGACCAATATTAGATTCCAAAATTGGAATTATGTTAACATGTGCAGCTTATCGTAACTGACACTTTGATAAAATAAAAAGTAATTCAACAAAATTGTCGCTTACGATGTTTTGTCAAATAACCATCGATATTTTCAGTTGCGCATTTTTTTCAACAAAAACCTTTTGTACAGGGTGTGTCATGTAACAGGGGCCAATACCAACTTTCTTATTTCAAATGCAAATGTAAATTATTGGATTTTTGTATTCTTCAGAAAATTGTAGACATATTTTATGTAGGTACAATGTCACATACCTATAGATATATCATCAACTGTTTCCGAAATATTAAAAAATTAACATTAAAGAACAATAAATTTTTAATTACAGAAATTCTCTACAATAAATACACAATTTGGGTACCCGCAAAAAAACTTGTGTCAACATTAAAATCTAACGTTTAATTTAATTCTGACGTAAACATTCAAAGTCAATCACACTGTAGCGCCGTCATGGTACCGGGAGAGAATGGAACATTACTTACCTGATAACAGGGAGGAAATGAAAATATAGGTATACAGGGGAAGGAATAATATTGTTTACAGCGGGAGAAATAAATGTCATTAATTATTAACAATCCAATACAATCGGCGCATTATTAACCAATCGACAAAAACGATATTTATTTATAAAAAACTAAATTTTGCATTAAAAAAATCTAATTGGGCCTTTAAATAAAATTTGATTTTTAGAATGGATGAACATTGTTTTAAAATTGCAAAATAAATTTGGTTTATATTTGTATTAATTCATGAAACCATTAAATTTCGTTTACATTAGTAATAAATATTAAAATAAAAAATCCAAATTCAAATAATAGATTGGTTTATGCATTAATGTTAATGTTGAAGGGAAAATGGATTTTAATTAAATATTTATTTTACATCGTTAATTACCATTATTATTATAAATTCAATACTGCTAAAACCGTAAAAACATGTTTATGCATAAAATGTGGGATGAATGAAAAAAGTAAATGTTTTTGGTTAAGGTAAATTTTTTAAAGACATCATTTGAAAGTAACAGAATCTATTATATTTATCTATGATCAAAAAACAAGACGTTATATTCCTTTATAAGCCTGACAACATTTATATCGGCAAAGAAAAACAATATGTATGTAGGTATGTCATTAGATCTATTGTTTAAGGTTTTACAAATGATTATTAAAGTCTAATCTTTATTGTTATAAAGCTTTCATATACAATTTTGATTTGAATAATTTATTAGGTTTTTCGAGTTTGTTTGTATGTATGCCACACAGTAAAAAATATTACGTTTAAATAATTAACAAGGCTTTGTCAATTGACCCATAATTTGCTTAAATAAACAACATAATAAAATATGTACCTATAACTACCTTTATTTTTAGTGTAAATCCAGTAAAAAATCCTATTAATTTAATGAAAAAAAGCGCATTGATTTTTACTTTTTATTTAAAAATTGGAATATAGTGTACAAAAGACATTTTGAATTTGTAATAAATTTGTTATAAAAATCTAGTTTTATATACAGGGTGTTATGTAATTAATGTTATATATTAAAATACTGAATACCTTTTGACATAAGGTGTAATGGAAAAATATTTTAAAAGATATTTTCCCAAAGATAAAGAAAATATATGCATTAGAAGTTTTTTATATTTTTTGTGATACGCCACTGGTTACACACTGTTCTGTGAGTACATAGATACAAACCAACAAAGTAGCTGCGCGATGCAGTTGTAAAAAATTGTTACTAAAAAATTTTCTTGCA